TTTTGAATTTATGATGAAGACAGTGTTGATAATATAGAGATGTTTTTGTTATTGCTGAGCAGCACTTACAAAGAGCCAAGACCTTTTCTGCTTTTCATAGTGCCATGGTGGTGAGGAGACTGGGGGTGCATGGGAGGCTGGGAGGAGACACAGTTGGGACAGGTGACACAAAATGTCTAAAGGGATATTCCAGACCATATGACATCATGCTCAGTGTATAAAGGGGGGAGAAGGAGGAGTGGGTGGACACTTAGGGTGATGCCATTTGTCTTCTCCGGTAACCACTATGCATGATGGCGCCCTGCTCTCTTAGAGAACTGTCCTGGGATTGCTTACCCATGGGAAGTAATGAATAGATTCCTGTTTTGCTTTGCTTGTGCGAGCAGCTTTTGCTTTCTCTATTAAACTGTCTTTATCTCAACCCAGGACTTCTTTCTGGCTTTTACCCTTCTGATTCTCTCCTCGATCTCACAGGTGGGGGGGTGATCAAGTGGCTTTGCGGTACTTGGTTGCTGACTGGGGTTAACCATCACACTTGGGAATTCTCACTGCATTCTCTCAGCTGTTCCAAATGTTACTACTTTTCCATGATTCTTTCCTAAAATTTTCCGTTGAGATTGGTGCAGCCACATCTCCCGCTATAAGACATGTCCTGTTCCTAAAGTAAATGTGATAATCTGCTAGCCTGAATTGCATAGCAGACACAAGACTGGAGATGGCTAATTTTCTATTTCATTTTGATTTTGCAGTTTCTGCTGGATAAGGCTGAGGCTCTAATCTCTCTTCAAGCATCTTACATGGGTCAATGGGATTGAGACCCCACAAACTTCCCTTAACTGCTTTGAAACTGAAAACAATTACTAGCTTACAAGTTAGGGAAACTGGACATGAAAAGTTCCTCTTACAGTTTACCTAGAATACAAAGCCTTGGAAAAAAAGCCTTTAATGTGAAATAAGAGGACAACCTCTTTTTTTGGACTAGGTGCTGGAGTGGATGCAGGGGCAGGTTGCTGCGAGCACATACCCACTTCTGACTCCAGGAACAGACAGTCACAGCGGTTCCAGGCAAACAAGTGTCACATTGCCTGTTCAATGATACCATTAGTCCAAGCAGCTAGGTCAAAGGTTTGTGTTTGACAACAGTGAGTGCACATTTTTCTTCTTGTTCTGAAGGTAGTGGTTATTACTTGAACATAGAGCTGTGGCTTTTTGTCAAGAAAACTAGAGTAGCCTGCTGGTGAAATGGTGCAAGTGCACACCATTGTCTGCTTTGATATTGTATGTGAAAAGGTGACCCCTTAATTTACTTCAAAAATTGCAAGAAACATGAAGACCATTTCTCTAATGGCCTGTTCTTACTCATACGGTGAAAAAAAGCTCATTTGAGATGTATGTTTTCCTTTACCCTGGTAAATTGTGAAGTTTAGAAGACTATCAGTCTTCACAGTTAGCTGTCTGTGAAAACCTCGTACCAGCATCTCAAGCCAAAATAACAGGAGGACTATCATATTCAAATGAACCAGAAAAGGAGAAATAATTCTGGGTCTAACTGGATAATCTTGCAATTGAATATTTGAGTTGAAGGCTGAGGACACTAGTTCTGTCTAGAAGAATTGCAGTAGCAATACAATGTTGATCTTATCTCACCAAAAAAGGAATTATATTTGACTACATACCACAGGTCCTGTAAAGAACTGTTGAAAAGACTATTCATACCCATTTAGGATGTGCACAGGATCATTGCTGATTCTCAAGACCACCTTGTTATTATTAAACCAAGTCTAGCTAAATTCGGTGGTTTCCAGTCTGAAAAGTAGAATTAGCCAGACTAGCTACCATCATGACTATTTGTGAGCACATGATTGTCATATAATCTGCAAATTTGCACAGCTATAGTCTGTACGTCTCCCTATTTTCCATACGGCTGCAAACGTCTAACAAGTCTTTGCTTCATGTTACTTAAACTCCTGTAGAAGGTTCATTAAATACATGAAAACTCTTCTTAAGGCCTGGAGCCACTCCTGAGCTCTCCTGCAATGACTAAGCCTTTCACCTCCACTTTTATTGTTTTGAAGTAGAAAATTAACTTGGGAGAAGCACAAAGAAAGTGATCCTCCCTCACCAAGACTCAGGATATTTGTGGAAAGAAATACGAAAAACAAAGTGTTAACTCATGGAGAAAAGCAGAAGCGTCTACAGCAGAGGAATATCAGGCCTTTAGAGACCGCACAAAATCCAGATCCTATCTGAATGTAAAAATGAATGCTTTTACAATTCCAGTCAGTGCCCAACTTTCTCTTAAAGGTAAAGCCTGTATAACTGTCATTGGTGTACAAGAAGAACATCAACACCCTGTCTTCTAGGTCATCAATTAGTATTTCTACAGAATACTGTAAAAAATGTATTATAATCATGAGTTGTTCCAATAAATGCAGTAAGTTTCAAATTAAGTTCTGCAAATTTCCAGGTCTGCAGTCATCATCAACCATCACCAACCACTTGAGGCAGCCGACTGTTGCCTGGATTTTCCATTTTAACATGGCATGCATTAAACATAGGGCAGACCACTCATTCTGCCCTGCCTTTAGGTTAGTGACACTGCAGGCGAGTTCACCCTTGGAAATAACACTGGCAGCTAAGTATGGTCAAGAAACGCCACCTGCTGTCTCTTGGATCACTGCTCCAAAAAGCTGCTGGGGTGCAAGGACATGAACAAAAATCATGTTGTGTTTTACTGGACAAAGAACATTTGAATATGATAAGGAGCAACCCTTTTTCCATATAAGAGGTCCCAAAAGAGGCCTCAGGTCCTCATCTGAGCTACCTACTACATAAGCAGCACTTCCTACAGAATCTCTTGCAGTGAAACTTAGAGAAAAAATGTAATAATTCACTCTGAAATGTAAATGCCTTGTTTTTTCACCAGATTGTAAAAAAAAAAAATCTGTTATCGAATTTAAGAATGTTGAATTCTCTTTTATTTCAAGGTTCATAATTGAAAAAAAATTATTAAAAGCTGCAATAACATAGTGTGGATCCTACTGTCTGAGGCTGTCTCCAAAAAAACTGTCTAGTAACTCAGTCCTTGGCATTACAGCCACTTTGACCCAGTAAAATCCCTAAGTATTCGCTTATCTTTAGACAAGTTTGGTTTCCTGATCTTGGGTGCTTGGAAACCAGGAGTCAGCACAACCTAATAACAGTCAACTAAGCACAAGGATGAAGACTTTTCAGCACAAAAGCCAGTGTGCTTAGGACCTAGATGCACCAAAATAGAAATTCATAAATAATCACTCAAATCCAAGATTTCCCAATTAACAAGTCTCTGCACCTTGTATGACACAAATTTGACTTTGTTAGAAATCAGCTGCATAAATATTAGAAGTTGCTTATTTTTCCCAGCTTTCTTTTTTCTGAGGGATAATATTACCACTCTTCTAAAACACTTCAACATTCAATATTCTAGTTTTAATTGTCTGAATTTTGTGTGTGTTTCTTTGAACATATTCTTTAACCTTTGTTGAGTCCCTGCTTTCTTCTTCTACTAAAGTATTTTTAGCTATTTAAGGGCATCTCCTTCTTAAGACAAAGACTTGTTATTTCTTAAAAAAAATCAATTTGTTACTTGGAGTAAATAAACCTCAAGAAAACAAGTAGCCAAAAGAACAAAGAATGGAAAAATCAAGTATATTGACAATTTTAATAGAAGTTATCATTACTTCAGTTGCAGGTAGGATACAGCCTCAGGAGGGAGCTATCCAATTCAGATTTGAATGAAAAAGCAAACATGCAGTCCCAGGATGCACCAACTTCTTGTAATTAATACAGAACTGACCTTACATATTTGCTGTGTAAGGTTAAATGGATGTGGCATTTATAAACTTTAGCATCAAACAGCTGTCCTGATAGTACTGGATGACATCAGACAGTTGTCCTGATAATACCAATGGAGTAAACTGAGGAGTAGTTAACCCCTCCACATTTTTTGCCACTAATCCTTGCCATAATCCAAGCAGCCTTTACAAATCCCATATCAAATTTATTTGTGGAGAAAAGATTGGGAGCTTTTCAAGGGTTCATAGAGTATTGGAAACAATGAAATAATTTCCAACTGAGGGAAAAGCATTAAAAACCTCTACTCCTGAACTATATGTGGAATTATGTGCTACACAATACTACAGAAAAAATAATAGTTGTGTTCTTAGACTAATGTATGTAGTATCTAGTTCATGCCACCAGTCATAAAAAGTGTGCATGTGATTCACAAAAACATAATACACGCTTCAAATGATTCTTCACTTACACTGGTATGAAGTTCCCTCTACTGTGTAACAGTTTTTGTGCATTTTAATATTAACAGGACATATTGCGACAGCAACAAATTAGAGAGTTAGAGCCTCAGACAGAAACCTCTGGCATGCTGTAGCCACATTTTCTTTGAAGCTGTGTTTCTGCATGGATGGGTTCTTGTTCCTTCACAGTGGCTCACTGGCTTCAACAAAGTTTGATGTAGCACACACAGATTCATTCACAGAAAGTATACTCTGAGTTCTGACATTGCTCGACGGGGGCAGAGACAAAATAAAAAGAACAGAATCCAGAGGAAAGAGAATGCAGCCCAGCTTGGAGAGTATGAGTACCAAGCTGGGCTCCAACTAGTCTAGTGCTTACAGGGCTGCCAAGTTCTGTATCAACAGGTTCATCACTTCATAGGCAGAAGTAAACCAAAAGCACACAAAGGCCAGCCAAGGTATAACTGTTTCCAATTCCTTCTATTCTGGATGGCGAGTGACTACAGATTTTTGGGGGTACAGGACTCACAGTTACAAACAGCTTTTTATTGCTAAAATCAAGCACATTTGATCTGGAGCCATTAAAGCCATTACAGTCATAATAGTCTAAAAATGTGATCGTACTCGCTCTAAGAAACTTTGGAAATTTGCGCCAAGATCTGCTACCCTGGGAAGCTTAATATCAGAAAATTAGAAGAGGTCACTTGCTCATTGTGGAAATTGGGAGAAGACATTTTATTTGAACCTGGCTTCTAAGAGATGCCATCAGCAGTTCAGTTTGCCACCAAATACTGAACTATTCCAACAATAGATTTGACTGAAGCGGATTAGCAGCCTGATATCCCAATTGCTTCTGACTTAAAAGCTTTGCAGTAGTCTTCTTTGAACTAGGAATCTGGAAAAGCATGTCTTCCAGTGTGCACATGGTAATCTGTCCAGAAGCTTGTAGTTTCGTATAAATATCTCCTAATTTGACAGAAAGGTTAGGGTTTTCTTCCATCTTTTCCCTGACTGTAGCCAGCTGAGGAAGAGAAAATTACACATTGTTACAGTTCAGCAAGTCAAGACCTCGTTCTACCATCATACCGAAGACAAGCAATCACTCATTGTAAACAAACAAACACACAGCATAAGATAGGTTGCTAAGGCAATGATTTTATGGAACACACATTATGCATCACCACACAATGGTGGAAATGCACTGGATACCTATCAGAGAGGGTTTATTACATTTAAAACTTCCTCCAAGTTGTACAGTCCTATTTTCAGTCCTAGTACAGAATAACACAATTATTTTCTATTTAAATCCAGGAAACGTAATTGCTTCCTGGAAATCTGCTTTTCAGATCAGCACAATTCTAATTATTATTATGCATCTCAGTAAATGTACAGTACAGAACAAATCAATAAGTCAGACTATAGAGTCTGACAGACTACAGACTCAGTCTACAGAACTGAGAAGTTCTGTATGCTATACACAGAGTATGAACTCAAGTGTTAAGTAAATCTCCTAAAAAAATGTTACTTATCCACAAGCTTTTGTGGAAGGGAAGGGTTAGGACTAATGCTTAGTCTTTTTATGCTTGTTACAAATTTCCCAAACAAAATCAAAATACAACACTAACGCATGTAACATTTATTGCAAAGACTTTACAAAATGAAATGCTGCTTAAAGAATTTCTTTTTGACATAGTAGTTAATATAAATGGGCTATGCTTTGAAAGGAATGCCCCCTGTGTACGTGATATTTGTTATTTTATATATCAGTTACAAATTCTGTTTAATAGGCAGCAGTGAATGGCTAAGTATTTAATTATTCTTGCCGTTCTATAGGCACATTCAAGGGGAATTCACTGATAAGTTTCAGGAAAAGCAGCAGCAATGCTGACAAACTGATAGAGGCTACATATGTCCTATGAGGAAGCATTCTTGCTGATCAAGACTGTAAGAACAGTTTTCACAGTAAAATACAGTTAAATAGCAAAAGCCACTATTTCTCATATCACATTTCCCTGTATAGCATCACAGACCTTTGCAAATATTACCAACCTAACAATATCACTGTGATCAGAAACTTTACTCTCATTTTCCTATCAAATGAAAATAGCATAGAAAGCAAGGGATTAAATTATTTAATGCCACCAGGGAAGGCTTCACTTACATTCAAATGAAGTATGAGCTTCCAGGAGCAAGATTATGGAAAGTGAACAGCTAAGTGTTTTGTCCAACAGTACAGGAAGCCAGACAGCTGCTTTGGCATCAGAACCCAAACAACTTCAGTAGGGTGAACTTAGGCACCTGAGGTTCTGTAGGTGAACACCATTACCACGTCTCAGTCAAGTACCATTACTGTGTACTTACCACCTGCTCAGAAAACTCAAGTTTTTTCACAAAAGGAGGAGTATCTACTTCCACTGCTGCCTCTAAAGTTTTTATTACTTCTTCTAGCAAACCAGATCTGAGCTGGACAAGAACCTTAAAAATAAAAACACACCACACAAATAGTATTTATCATCAGAATGTAAATTTTTTAAAAAGTGTTTGAGAAAGACATGAAGCAAAGCAGGACAAAATACATTTCCAGATGCTGCACTGACAAAAATCCATTCATCACAAAGAAAGCAGATGGAATGATCAATTTCCTCACTGTTTTTTTTCACAGCTGGGAACCTGGAAAGGAAGGGTGAGTCTGAAGGTAGAGCTCCTCTGATGAAGCTGCATTAGCTGTTCTTGAATAAAGTGGTTTTTGCCATAGCTTAGAGAGGTCGCTTACATGGCACATGCAGTACACTTTCTCCGAGGTTACAGACTGTGCAAGTAAACAAAAAAACTGTTGTACGTACACACATGGCTAAAGTCTGTAGGGCTGAAGGAGGCCTGAAGTGGACAAAGTACAGCTAAAGAAGGCATTTACTTGGAGCTGTGGTTTTTTTCAATCTTTTGTAGCAAGGAAGCAAGAAGTTACAGTGTCATAATTAGAAATTGTTCATGGTTCTATACGCACGGATGTAGGACTGGTCTCATCTATAGTAGGAAGTTACTCAAAAAATGGGTGAGGATTGTTAACAGTTCAGAATGTAAGTCATCCAACTGACAGAAACTGTCTGTTGCCTCAGAAACAAGCTCATCAACACTACTAACACACACCTGTGCTCCTAAGAAGCTGCCCTTCCGTTACTTTGTGCATGGAAGTTTTTTGTCCAGTATAGCATACTCCTCTGCAAGATTTTAATACAAAGCAAGCATACTTACTTTAAGATTATTGTATAGTTTGTTCTCTGTTTTCATTATCTGGGAGCAATAAAGTTTGGCTTGCGCTATATCATTCTGGAAAGGAATTATAAATAATAAAAAAAATACAGTCAAACATGCGTCACAAACTTTTGCAATAAAAGTTCAAGAGAAAAAACAGTCCTTCACAACTTTTCAATAAATCACAAACCAGCATCTAAAACCCCGTCACCATGACCCATAGACATCAAACAGCATGCAGCCCGCAAAAGAAACACCCCATGCTGGATTTCTCATGTCATCTGGGTCTTTACTACAGCGTGTCGCACGTAACCAACACTGAGCATGAGATCACCTAAAAGATACAAGATCTACACACATGCTCAGTTTGACACATGTCAGAGTACTTAAATGAAGTGCAGCATATGTTAATGTGGATATTTATCCTGCCCAGTCCTTTTAACCTTTTGGACATACACATTTACAGTACTGTATCTACGTCATCAATTGATTTGTATAGACAGCTAATGTTACACTGGCATTTACTAGACCAAGCAATGTTTCTTGAGATCGAGAAACATCTTACTCACAGCAATAAGTACTGTCAAAGATCGTGCAGCTTAAGGAACAGTTAAATATAATGTGGAGCATTACTCTGTTTGCAAAACAAGAATTTTATCTGATTTTTACATACAGCAACATCAAGCACATTTCATTTTGTTTCAGAGACAGAGATTTTGTTTTTACTCAATGACAATAAGAAGTTCTATCATGTCATCATGCACATGAATAAATTTATTTCAGTGCTGCTATTGCTCAGTGTCTCTTCACAGAGACAGAGCAAAAAAAGACCACACAGTGCACAAGAAACCTTTAACAATTCTACTTCATTCATTAAAATTTGTGAATAAGACCAAATCTATAGTCCTTTCAGTGTCTCTGACCTCTGTTTTAACATGAAACAGAGAAGGTTCAGAGCACACCCATGCTGTATACACAAATTAATTGGAGAGGAAATCCAAACTTTATTCCAGCCTTTAGAACTTCCTAAGTGTTATTCTCTTGCTCAGACTTTGACCCTGTGCTGCCTCAGAGCCTCAGTGCTTAGGCACATGAGGTATACGAAAACCTCTCCGAGCAGAAATATGTTGCAGAGAAAGACAGGCCACTTCCCAGGCAGTAGGGCAATACATATCATAGCCTTTGAGCCTGCCTCCCAAGATAACCATTTTAAAGAGATGACTGCACAAATATTTTAAATTATAATTTAAATTCTATTTAAAGGAAATCATCACCAAATAGTAGTATCTGCAGGCGTAGATCCATGGTTACATCTAACCTGTTTGCCTAACTCGTTCGTTTTCTGGTAATATTCCAGATGGCATTGTCACTAGCACAAAATACATTAGACTCAAGACATATGTTTATATTTCAGAACTTCCAGGTTCAATCTATGTGAAAGTTGTCTATAATCACACGGTTTCAGGAGCCTAAAAGTTTCAATACTTGAAGTTGTTACATAGATCAGTTACACTTTCTCCATGTTAACTTTCTTTCACAATAAAACTACAGAGACCTAGGCAGAACCGAAAACAAAAGGCATTGTACCTGCTTGAGAGCAGTTGCCATGGCAAAGCAGTATGCTCGCAGCGATAACATGTCACCTTTCAGTTGTGCTTCTTCAAGCAATTTCGCAGAGATTTTGGAAGACTCCAGGTTATCCTGTATAGAAATTTCAAAGTAAGTTGCACTTGTTCTTGTGATCTGACAGGCCTGCAATCACATTCAGAAGGCATGCAGAAGTCAACATACTGCATGACCACCAAGGCAATACGTATCTAAACCCAACCAAGCAGATTCTGTGCAGCACTTCTTGAGAAACACAACATCAAAATATGATATTTAAAATGACAGAGGTCAAAAGAAGGTAAACATAACTTCCATTCTTTTAAGAATTACACCTGGCCCTATTTTGGCTTTTACAAGAGATAAAAAAACTGTGGCAATATCCTAAACCAACAGACACTTTCCTATTCAGTTTTGAATAATTCCGAAATCAGGAAGGAAGATTAATTTTTGTCCATTATTCTAGAATCTACATTAGGCAGTTACTAAAAAGTCAATATTTTCTAAGCATTGAACTACTCAGCACCACTACACTAAAGTCCGTGTATGTGCAAATTTGAACATTCAGCCATTTTTAGCCTCTCTTACAGATTAAATCTTGAAAAATGTTTCCAAAGCATATATTCTAATATGACTGCTTAGACATTTGCATGTTTTTCAACACAGAAAGCTTCCATTATTGCTGGGACAATTTTCATTAGTCTATAATAAAAGGTAATGAGTTTAGCTGTGTGGTACCTCACAAACCACCAACTCTCCAAACCAATACGGCTCACACTGGAAATTATGGGTGGAACTGACTGGACCCCAAACAAAATAGTATCTGCCAAACTTAAAAGCAGCACGAAGGTTTTGTAACAATTGGTACCACCAATATGGATAACAGTCCTCATATTTGGTGCTGATTTCTGTTCCTAGTGTTCAAAGTGTCATTGCTGCAAAATATGGTTTAAAACATGTTCTTAAAAATTTAGAAACATTCTGATCACCAGAAGATTGATTATTACATAAATACTTTGTTGTCATCCAAAGGCCTATAGATCTTTCCTGCACTAAAAGAAGGACCATCTGTTATCTCAGAGGATAGTAGTGCCTTATAGTGATTTAAAAAATCCCAGAAGTGTTTCAGAGTTGACCTGCAAAACACCTCTGAACAAAGATTAAACATCAATTCCTTTGTTTATCCACCAGCAATAATCTGAGCTTTAAGCCTTGTACATTTTTCTGTACTGGTTTCTGCCAGGATTATTCATAAAAAACCAAGAATTAACCATTAAGAGCACAGCTCTTAATGACACCACTACCACTATTTCCATTATTCAAGTAGTGTATCTTGAAGATACTTCCCGACAAGATTTTTTCTGACATTTCTTATCTTGCATCATGCGCAAAAGCACTTTAGAGCTTCATGGTTTCTCCTCCTCCTCCTAACAGATGAATCAACAGATTACGCTTCTGAAAGAGCTCCACCTAATCCTCTTTAGCGCACAAAGGGTTACTACAGCTTATTCCCCTACTGGTAGTACTTTATCTTAATGAAAAAACCCATGAGTTTATTGTGGCTGTTAAACCACATAAACCAGGTGACAGTTAAGAATTGTTTCCTCTTTATTTTCATCAATAGTAATAATGGGCTGGATTCTCCATTGAAAACATGTGTAGGGCCAGATGTAGTGGAAAACAGAAGCTTCGGGAACCTCTTCCTGTTGCATGTGCCATGGGTCCAAGCCTTCTGACTGCAGGTCATGTAAAAAAACACGTAAAGATTTTAGGGAAGAAGCTACAGCAGACCTAAAGGCAGGGCTAACTCATTAGAACTGAGAATTGCAGAAGCACCACGTAAATCACTGCCGAGGTACTATTTTAGGCCTACTCCTTTTTCACATAGGCACTCAGTTTCATTTAATGTTTAACTGAGAAATCTGAGGAAGTTTGGTCTAGTGGTATAACTTTTTCCTCAGCTAGCATCTTCGTAAAACATGAGAAAATGGAAGAAAAGTTTCTAATTGAGTTTGGGAAGGGTCCATGTTAATATTTCAAACTGCAGAACCGACTCAAATCTGGAGAGGAAGATCAAAATAAAAAAGTTCTGGGATCTCACTTTGCTACAAAAGGGAAACACTTCTAAGGAAACACTCATAAAACCGATGTAGCCCAGTTTCTCACTGTGTTCATGCTCTTTTTCTTTGAGACAGGTAAGCTCAAGGGCAGCCTGTCTCTCACCAGAGGCATTCATTTAGGTTCCTTTTCTCCACTCAGGTGTCCATTTTCATTAGGCATGTAGGGAACAGATTAACTTTGACAATTCTGTTCCTTGTCAAATTTGGGTGCAATTACAGAAATGGTTCAAGGCTACTTGCAGGGGGAGGGGATAAACGGATGGGGGATGTCTGACAAACAGACCATATCACATATAAGGCCTGTCTCTTAAGGAAAACAGACTATAAAATTGATGTTGAGGCTCAAGCACACAGTATAGTCTGAAGAGTTGCAAAGTTCCCAGAGAAAGAATACTATAAGGCTGTAGCAAATTTGTTCCTTAATGCTTATGTCCATGCAAACTTTCAGAGATTTGTTTTGTGATATTAGTTCGTATGGGAAACTATATATGGGCACAATATCATGCACAATAAAGCAATTTAGGACTTAAATATGTCTAAAATATTTCCAGTAGATAGGAAATCATGACAGGGAAAATACGGAAATTTTAAAATCCAAAAAAAAGGCATTTCAAACACTTTTTCATAATGTAAATTGAAAATACTTACCAGTTTATAGCATATTGCAAATGCAAGTAGATACGTTTCTTTGTTGAAAGGTATACCTTGTTTTTTCATTTCTACCAGAACTTCCAAAGCACCTATCAAAAATATATTAGTCTTACTCACTTCACAAATTTATGGCTATACCTTTAGTAACTGAAAAAACAGTTCAACATGCTATGAGCTCAGTAAATCTATTTGCAAATAAGAATGCAAACTGAAATCTATTATTTTAAAAAGAAAATAATTCAAAAAGTTTAATGCATGGTCAGTTGGTTATAAATAACTCTTCTTAGCAAGGAGGTGTTCAGTCTACAGTAGAATATGGCCTTACTCTTTCATTATTTTTATATGAATCTGAAGCTAAATTCTAGATACAAAGGGTGATACAAAGTCACCCTCATTCTTCCTAACTGCCCAGAAATCTTGCACCACTTTAGGCAAACTCCATAACATCTCCTCAATAACTCACATGCCTCAGCATAACAGCTACATTCAGGTGCTGATCTAGTTATTTTTACAGTGGTTCAGTCTCAACTTCTAGGACAGCTGCTGAACTTATATTTGCTAAACATCAAGAGATCAAGCGCTGTGTATTCAACAGACTTCAAACAAAGGGATTTGGTTGAAAAGCTTATTCCATACTCAATTTTAGATTTTCTCATGGAAAGTCTTTTAAGTTAGGTTAGATGATTTTTCCTTATTCTGACAAAGAGCCAAACTGATTTGAAGCACTGATTGTAGCCACTCTGTGTGATGGCACTAGTAGGACAAACCAAGAGAAGACCCCAGTTTTGGAAAAAGGGCACTGACAGTAATGCAGAACAGCCAAAAAATTGTTGAAGAACATACCATTTCAAAACCCACATAAAACAAACTCTGAATAGAGAAAACAAAATGCTACGGGAAATTACAAAGCAAAAAGAAGTTAGCACTTAAGAGAAAAGGGTTTAGGAGACAAAGTCTCCTGGATAAAAACAATTCCAGGCAACTTGAATGGCAAGAATACCACAGGAAGTAGAAGACCAATACCATCTTCCATTTTTATTACATGCTACAGTGCAACTCATTCCCATCTACACTTATTTACATGATGTTTGGCCACCTAAAACCATAGCCAAATAGCAATATTCATTAAAAAAATACATATATTTATATACACACACAACACATACAGTGAGAAGCATCCTCCACAAAATTAACTTGTCTTAGTAAACACAATACTTACTTTCAAAATGGCCTTTTTTAAACAACATAGTCATCAAAATATGGAATGATGTACTCTCTGAGAAAAAACCATGCAAATTCTGGAAAAGAAATAGAGCAAACATAAAAAAGGTCAGGAGAGTGAACATTCTTACTGTGCACAGCATTTAGCAGGTGTTCCTACTGGAATAAATCTTTACAAGTTCAACGTTTAACTCTCTGGGTTCCCCGACTGTCCGTCCCTCTGTCAATTAACCTCTACAATACCAGTGACTCAGTATGGTCAAAAGCTCACTAAAATTAAACAGAAATTTCCCAGAGAGTCCCCCAATCATTTTTTTAATGACAGATTGTAACCCCTAAGTCACTGCAAGCAGAAGTCCCTGACAGCTTGCAGCTGATGAACAATATCTTTGTAGTTAAGCACATCGCCATGAAATTGAAAGAATTTTTTTCTAATCACAATATCAAATGATGAACAGGTCAGCACAAGAGCTTGAGTGATGATGATAAGAGTAGCAGAAGAAAGAGAAATTACATTTTATGTTCTACTTCAACCGCACTGTGTTGGGAATAGCCAAATAAAATGTTAGACATATTAAGTTTAAATTTCTGTAGCAGAGTCCGAAGAAGTATCTCATTATCCACCAATTACTATGTCCTGCAAGTACAGCAGGACCTGTCTTAATGACATAGATTCCAATAAGAAAAAAAACCAAACTAAAATAAAAACTACATACTCTTACATGTCTAATTTAAGAACAGAGAAAGACTTCTCCCATTTCTTGCTGGGTATAAATCATGCCTTAATGAATTAGCATCAGAGACATGACTTTTCACTGGCTAGTAGACATTTTCGAAGGTACATTATTGCACACACTGGGCATGATTAATACCTTGCCTTAATAGCACACGTAAGAGTTTTAGACATGTTCAAAAACAAGTCCTTAAGTTTCTTCAGCACTAAAATGGCCAAGTTCCTGAGCTGTTGAACATCATACCACCTCTACAGAGTTCAGAAGGAGTTTGAAGTACAGAGTACCATGACAAATCTGCTGGTATAAATAACACAAGGGATTTCAGAGGGCTACCACAGAAAAACTCAGAAGCATTCATTCCAAGAATGATCTAATGCAATACAGGATGTGGGAAAACATGCATCAGCAATGTTAACTTAAGTAATTATTTTTTCATCAATATTTTTTATTAAATTTTATCATACAGAAATAAAATAAAGTTACCAGTCAAACTAGCATTTAATTTCCTTTTAATTACTGTTTTGCTATTGGTAGCATACCATTTCTCATATTTGAGAATACATTGACTAATAATAACAATAACAACAGCATTTTTTAAATATATAGGGGAAGTACCTGATCTTTGATAAGTTCTACTGCAGGTCTTTCAAGGTCTAGCTCATAACATAGCCTCATAAAGAGGGGCCCAAATTTAAAATTAGGTAAGGCTGTTATTCCATTCTGTTCATGGTACCTATTGGAAAGATTAAAAAAGTTAATCACACAGGGCATGGAATCTGCCAGGGAGAACAGCTTTAAACGGAGAGCAAGATCTGTATGTGCAATGACAGAGGCACACTCCTCTATCTGCACCAGCCAAAGATATATAGATAACAGGAGATTATATTTTAAGGAAAAAATTTAGTTTTGATCAAACTAATAAATTAACTAGTAATAAATAATCTCTTCTATTACCAGTAGAGTAATCTGCATTAAATCAATAATAGAATGGGTCTTTGTCTCAAAAATTCCCAGTTACTTTACCTTCTATTCATGCAATGATACCACAGAAGTTGCAGCAGTCTATTTTAGCAGCAGTACCTGCTGAAATACCTCTACAAAAAGAGAGTATTTTAATTTTTACTTTATAGGTCCTACACTGTAATTGCTGCGAAACTTTTCACTCACAAAACCTCCTGCCATTAATCTACCACTGCTGGTTCCAGACCAGTTTATAATCAGGCGTGTCTTGGCTGGAAAAAAACCCTGAAAATACGTCTGCTTCTCAGCTGTGGGATGATTTTCCTGTGTGGTTCACCATTCATTCTGCAGTAGGACATCACTTGGCTCTCGTAGCTTGACCCTCCTTTGACCTGAGAGTCTTTGAAGGGCTTGAAGATCCAAACGAAATGAAAACACAGCCTTAACTTAAGGGATTAATTATGCCTATAGCCATTGAATCAGGACAAGCACTCAACTGCAGATATAACCTGGGATGATCTAATAAAAGACAAAAAATAAAGACAGAAAAGAGCGTTACCTGGATTGTAAAAAATACCTGTAAATAACTTTTCTGGCTAGTTCCACATCAGATGAAGTCTGACATAAATGCAGCAGATTTTTTAATTCATTTTTGAGAATGATTCCATTTTTCTTTAATTTTTCTTTAATATTTCTAAAATATGGATCTGAAAATAAAATACATAACAGGAGTAGTCTATAGACAATTCCATTACAGGTGTTGCATACTTAGTACCTAAAATGGGGAGATTCAATGACTCAGAAAGCTTGTTTTTTCACCAAGAAAAATGCATAAAGCTTCTTACAGACAAGCATGCCAAGGTGTCTCCATGAAGTCATGTCAAACTTGGAAAACCAAGAAGATGCATATTGTGAACTTAATTCATTGTGTATGTTATGGAACATATCCGGTAACACAAAAGTTTTAATGAGGAAGAAAGTTTTGCGCATTTTATGCCTTCTATTCTTTTTCTAAAGAGCAAGCAAACAAACAAAACCAATTCCACACAGCATTCAAACAACCGTAAGAACTACTCAACACTGTTCACACAGAAGACTTAAATTTCTTCACAGGTGATGAAAACACAAAGACTCTCCTATATAATCTGTGTTTTTCTATACATAGCCATAAACTTAAGAGTTGCTTCCCTTACCCTGCCCCCAAACTAGATGGTTCTCTATCCCACCCATTTTCCTATGACAAATCAAGCACAAAGATGAGTCCTCCAGTTGGTAATCTCAGTCCTCTGACTGACACACACAAGATTAAAATCACATGTACCACCTGACAGCCTCCCATGGTGCTGACCACATCTTGGGGAGAGAAGCAATCATTTTTGTAGCAGTTGCTGGGCCACTGCTGTTTCCAAGCTAGTGACCTACACAAGAGGTGAAAAGTAGGCACCACAGGGAACAACATATTCAGTTACTGGATGCATATCTGTTGCTATATGCAATTGCAAGTCCGTACTTGAGACTGAAATACAGAGCTGAATCCTGGAAGTTAGAAGAATGTATACATACAAGTAGGCATACATAATGCTTGTGATGTGTTCAAAGGTGCACAGAAATTCAAAAAATACCTGGGATCTGAATGGTATTTACACTATTGTAGGTAATTGTATAACTGCTGTAGTTAATAGTATAACTATTGTAGTTAATGGTTGGATTATAACTACAATAAATAATAGCTACTATGTATTCTGTGCAACAGTTATTACTGCTTTTTCCATTTCTAAACCAAGTTTTTATTAGCCCTAATTACTGATTTTCATTTTTCACATATTACATTAAACACTGAGTACAGAAACTATTCACACATACACACAAACAGGTGTTTAGCACAATGGTTTCATTAGTTTTCAGAGGCTACTATTTGTATGAAACTAAAAGGTCAACTGTGACCTGTAAAGCCAAATATTTGGCTACTACAAATCTGCTTTAGCAAAAGTTATTGACCCACAGCAATAAATTCAATGTATCTCAACTATGGGATGAATAAACTACAATATGTCATCATTACAGCAAAATATAATAACATTATGACTTGCAACTGCACAATTTAAATTTCACTAAATATAGAAAAAACTGTCAGGTTGACTTTAGTTCCCTCTCAGTCCCAAAAGACTGGCTTATATAAAACTAGATTTGTTTATTTGTCTCTTCCTTGTCTTAAAATTAAGTACAATCTTTGGAACACTAGAACACCCATACATGACAAAACAGGAGTTTTGCCTAACGTTTCTTAAATAATAAGGGCAGCTTTATGTTTATATTTATGTTTCTTAAAGAAAGGAATTTGTATACATTTTAAACAGCATGACAAAATCCCTGCCAGAAAAAATCCACTGATTCTGCTCCCATATTAGTTTGGAAAACCTGAATTTGTTTTTCATATTTGGTGTAGCATATGTCAGCTGGAAGTGGGTGTACAACTGAGAACTTACACTAGGCAAAAGAAAAAAAATCTAAAAGAATATGCTAACTAAATTTACAGAGCAGATTAAAAGAGAATTACTGGTGAAGGCCTTTTCTGGATACTTAGGTAACTATTTGGCTTTGTGTTAACCTTCTGTGTAGGGACCTCTGGTGGCCTAGTGGTTAGCATGCGGGACTCTCACCGCTGCAACCCGGGTTCGATTCCCAGTCCCTCCCGGGCAGATGGAACCCGTTAGCCCTGTGAGGCCATCCATCTATGAGAAGGACACTCTAAACAAACCTACGTCCTGAGGACCTCACTGCCATTGTCCAAGCTTGCTTGGCCCCGGCAGATGAACCTTAGGATTAAAGGGTGGGCTCAGTTCAGCGCAGGCTGTGTCTCACCTAAAAAATCCATTGCGCAGGCTCGAAAGGTAAAAGACCTTTCCCCAAATCTTCGTTCGCGAAGATGGGCCATTATTATTATTAACCTTCTGTGTTGATTTGAAGCGATATTTGTAGACTGAAACAGTATTTTCTATTAGATTATCTTAAAAAGTTAGAAAAGGGAGGATACAAACATTTCAGGTCTTATGCAAACACCTTGCATACATGAAAGCTTCTCCACGCATAATCTCAACACAGCATAACTAATATTGTTTCATTTTACAAAGCCTCAGGTCTTACAATAATGGTAGGTACAAAAAATTTGCAGGAGGAAGACATAAGTTGTTTCTTTAAATGGGATCAATTGGTGTCATACTTTTGTAACTTGGACTGTTTTGTTTCCTAGGACTCATGCTAAAATTGAGAATGGTGACTATGAAATAAATGCTATACCTTTATTGCCATGAACTTCATTCCTAATTGCCACTTTCATCTGTTGAAATTCTTGTAACTTTATATCTTCTTCAGTTAGCAGATACCGCTTCCCTACCACAAGAACAAAAAAGAGGAAGATTGAGTTTTATATTACACTGTCTGATTTATTACTACTGAACCTTGCATGTATTAATTACTGACTTCAATTTTCTGATGCCAGACATTGTCAGTACGACATTAAAAAACAGACTGCAAAAACTGAAGTTGCTCATGTCACAAACAAAAGAACTCAAATACTATGTCACAGCTCTATGGACTTTATGTGCACAAGGATGAAGAAGTATTTAGTTATTGAATGAGCACAAGAAAAAGTAGACGCAATATTCCTCTTCACCAAGGAAGAGGAGCATTCTGCTCAGGAATAAGATCCTTCCCCCCTTTGCACTTTCATAATGATTTTCTTGTCATTTCTTTATTCTCCACAATTCACTAGTGGCACAGCTTGCTTTCCCCTTAAGTGCTGTCCTCATTGCTGTAAACGCATCATTCTGGAAGCTCCCAATGCAGTAGGAAGACACAAAAAGCTTATTTTTTGAATTTATAAAAACACCAACTGTATTACTTGGATCCCAGTAACACTCAGGAGACCTAGTGAAGTTCTGTTGCACTACAGACATCAGAGGTAAGAAGTCTAGAAGCTCAAAATTTTGAGTCTGGAAGCTCAAAATTAACTTTGGGTGCTGACCTCAACTGTACTGTGTTGCAAGCTGCTTTAATAAAAGTTTCATGCAAAAGCTATTTGACAAGTTTTTGCTGTTACAAAATCAGATGTCCATTAGATTTTTATTTGCAACTAATGACTTTGTAACAGAGTCACTGTAGTAGCTTACATTGTTACAATCTAATATTTTAAGGTTTTGCCTTCTTAAAGAATTATTGGAATCACGAAGGGACAAGAACAAGTATTGAACTGAATTAGGTTTATTCTCATTCTGCATTTCCCTAGAAAAATGTAAGAGGCCATGCAAAAAACCCCACTTGTTTTCTATGCAAGGAAAGCATGCTAATGACACACTTCATAAAACCGGAAGCAAAAAATCCATTAAATGGCACATTCATCCATTAAATTTAATGGAAACTGTTCCAATGGGAAAACAAACACAATTTATCCAGCATGAAATTGACCTGTATTATGCTACCATTTACGTCCCACAGACCTGGTCTAACAGCAAAAGCCCATCCCAGTCCTGGGCCTCTCCAGAGCTGGTGCAGGAATCATGCTAGTGCCTGGGGTGGGACCAGCACACTGCATATCACGGACACTCAGTGGTCACGGACAGTGTCAGCAGAGAGTGGGAGGCAGCAGAATTTTACTCTTCTTGAATTCAATTTGATGAATTCCACTGCTTTCTTAGATTCATATCTTACAGTGCTACAGAAACAAACCAGTGCAAAACCAAGCAAAGGGACCTCCAATGAAAAAGGAGGGAGATGGATATGATGGCTGGCATGTGCAGGTGGTGCACGCTATCCCAGAGAACTTAATCAACCAACCTGCTCTGCCTCACAACCCTCTACCAGGCTGGCCAATGAAGAGGGGTGGGCAGAGCACCGGGCTCCATGTCTCTGAGGGGTCTAACAGAGCTGTAACCTGAGTGAGGCCTCCACAGGCACAGCAGGCCAGGAGCCCAGCCAGGGCCTGGGCTGCAGAGCTCTGCAACATACACCTCTTTTCCATGTGCCCCCATTTCCTTCTTGGGGCAAGGGAGTGCCTTTGGAAGGCCTCGGAAGCCCAGAGTCTGGATAACACTGTCATCCTCCCAGAATAAACAGACATTTATGAAACTGCACATGTTTGGTTGGTTGTTTCCTTTTCAATGTCACATCCTGACAGCAGAAAGTAGGAGATCCGCTCACTAACGCTGACCTCCAGGGTGACCTTACTGTGGCCTTTCAGTACCTGAAGAGGGCCTACAGGAAAGCTGGAGAGGGACTTTCACTAGGGCATGTAGTGCTAGGACAAGGAGGAATGGCTTTTGACTAAAATAGAGTAGGTTTAGATTAGATATTAGGAAGAAATTCTTTACTCTGAGGGTGGTGAGGCACAGGAATAGGTTGCCCAGAGAAGCTGTGCATGTCCCATCCCAGGAAATGCTCAGGGCCAAGTTGAATGGGGTTCTGTGCAACCCGATCCCGTAGAAAGTGTCCCCATGGCAGGGTCGATCTTTAAGGTCCCCTCCAACTCAGGTCATTCTGAGATTCATTCTATGATCTTGTAAGGCCGCTGCCGAACCTCCCCGCGGGGCACTGCCCACCCTCCCTGCTCGGCCTGCCCACCAGGAGCCCCTCGGCGCTCCGCGCCACAACACCGCGCGCCGAGAAGGGCATCCACGCAGGAACTACAGCTCCCGTCAGGCACACGCCTAGCGGCGGCCGCCGCACCTGCCGGGTGTTGCCGTACCCGGTATCCCCCGCACCGGCGGGCAGCCTCACTCCCCGACCGGGTCCCCCCCGCCCGCCCCCGCCGCGAAGTCCGCGGTACCTGCGGGAACGCAGCCCCAGGCGCCCGGGGCGGGCGGGCGAACCGCCGAGCGCCGCACCGCCTCCTGCGCCGCCCGCCGGGACCCGCCCGCCAGCACCGCCGCCATCTCACGGCCCGCGGGCGCGGGGCGGGGCGCTCGCAGTCTCCCCGCGCCGCCCACCTCCTCCGGCCTCGGCACCATGGCCGCCCCCGTGCTCCGGCGTGCCGTGCTCCGCAGCGGGAGGGCCCTCGGCGCGGGCTCAGGTCGGTGCGCTGCTGGGGGGCGCGGCGGGGCGGGGGACGCGGCCGGGGCACGGCGCTGGTGGCCGTGGTTGCCGCAGGCGGAGGTGGGAAGCGTGAGCAGGGGTGGGATGCTGCGCCGGGGCTGCCCTCACCTTCCCCCGTTTTTCTCTCTCTTCGTATATCTCTGTGAAATTGGAGGCAGCTCTGTGGACGTCTTATCGCTAGCGTGCAGTGTAGGAGAGTGTTCACAGTTTGTATTTTAGTGGATCCACCACCGTGCGGATTTCATAGCTCGACATTTTAGGGCCGGCCCTTTTGGGCCGGGGGAACCACGCGGAATTATATGAAAGGCCGCCAAGACCGTGGCAGTGAGTGCCCAGCACAACCTGGTAACGCCGGTGACAGAATAGCCGCGAGGCTGATGTATTGGAAAAGACAAAAATTTGACCCTTGGGAAGAACTGGGCTCAGTACCGTTTGCCTAAAGAGTGGTGGTGATGGGTGACTCCACTGTGCCTTTTCACACGCGGAGCACGCTTTCCTCCGTTCTGCTTCCTGGATGCCCAGGGTTCAACCACGCCGCCCTTCCCTCTGGCGCTGAGCCGGCGTGAAAGAGCTCAGCCCTGACCTCGGCTTACCCGGCTTACTGTCAGGCGGACAGTTTTGCTATAGAAAATAATTCTGTAAAGCCTCATGCTTACTAGTGGCATACTTCGCGTGAATAAGCATACAGTAATTTATCCTAAAAAAACCCCAACCAAAAAATCCCCAGAAACCCACACCAACCTCCCCAGGTCTTCTGTATGTCTCTTTTGTCAACCTAATGAAAAATAACACTAAAAGAAACCGTACTAACCAAACAAAAATACCTTATTTTCGATCTGTTTGGTAAAGTGATGTACGTACTCTCATATTCTGACTGTGGAATTCTGTGTTCTGAGCCTTTTTGACAGAAGTTTGCAAAGTTGTTCAGAGGTGGACGTGTGTGTATAATTGTGTGTCAGAAGGGTGAGGAGAAAAATTGTTTCACAACCAAAACTAAACTTTCAGAGGTAGCTGATTTTCAGATTAAAGCTTTAAGGTAGTTGCTGAGACTTCTGTGTGGCATTGTAATGTCTATTTCTAAAATATTTCATATTTTTTAACATTACTTTCTGCAACCTTCTACATGTATTCCTATATCTTCCTTCAACAAATTTTATCCAGGTCTTCCTCATGCATTTTGAAGGACACATCACCTGTGACTGATGTACAAATTCTTCCAGCTGAAGCATTTTCTGTTTTGTTTCAAAAGCTAGTACAGCATCTTGAGTAGATTTCAAAGGTGGTACAATGAGTATTTGGAAAAAACTTCCAAAAATGTTTCCGTGAATCTGCAATTCACAGGAGATGGAAAAAATGGAGAATATTAAAAGGGAAGTATTTCCAGATGAGCATCTAACTTTCACTTCCAGTGAGACAGTCTTTACAGGTGGAAAAAATAACTATCCAGCAACAACAGAAAAGCCTTTTTGTGCATAGCTGTGTTTTTTGCTTATTCTTTTTAGCCGACATTTAGCTAATTGCTAGCATTTGATGAAAAAGGTCTGTGTGCACAAAGAAACTGCTTGTATTGTTCTTTGGGTTTTTTTCTGCCTTTACAAATTTGTCCTTTTCTTAAATAGAGAGTTCAGGTTTGGAAATATTAGTTTCATGATGAAAAAAACCTTATAGGGGAAAGCTTTTCTGTTTTAAATATTACAAGGAAATAATAAAAATAAATAAAAATAAGTATAATAATTAAATACTAATTAAAATAATAATAATTACAATGAATCAGAATTGTTACAGTAGTAGTTGCTGACTGCTGTGTTATAAAGACAGCTTAATGCATCCCACTCAGTAAATGGGACAGTAAAAGATAATATCTCATAAAGTGTTACTTTGTTTAGAGTTGTCTAAGCAAACTGGCTTACATAGTGTTGTCTTTCTTCATTAGGTAGATCTCTTCTTTCTGCGGCCTATGTGGATAGCTCAAAGTGGGAAAAGAGACAAAAAGAGGAGCATAACCTGGGTGAGAAAAGTTTGTTTCTTGTCTCCACTTCGTCAAATAAATTGCAAGCTAAACGAACTTTTTACTAGCTCATCATCTGTAAATAAGAAAATGTGTGAAGCAATATGGTTCTAAGGTTCTATGTCAAGAGGTGTTCAGCATATTAAAAATTTGTCATAAATATTCAAAGCTATAATACAGAAACAAGTTAGAATTTGCCCATTTAATTAATGTTTGGTTTCTACAAGCTAGTTTTTTTCTTTCACAAAATCCAAAGTTTTATGGCTGTATCCGAGTGTCATTTTCATTGACATTGTTTTAATTGTACAGCAGTGCAAAAGAAAAACTTTAGGTATTGCAGGATAGTCCTGTTTAAAGACATTTTTTAAAAGGAACATTTTCCTCGGAGTTTTGCATTTTCTTGTTGAGTTACAGATTTTTTGGGGCGGAATGAAACTAAAAGTTTTATTTTCAAGAAACTATATGTTAAACTGTGTCTGCATACGGAACTGAGATCTCTAGTGCAAGTTTTATAGCTAAATTATTTGACTATGTTACATTTGAAATTACGTTCCACCATCTTTTTGGTGACTATGTTAAATAGAGAGCATCTTGCAAAACGTATTTCCATGCTAAAGATAGATATGGAGTATTTTGTACCACAGGTGTTTGGAGACTCCTTAATGCATAATCTTTGTCTTCTCTTTTTCTTTCCTGGGCCCCTGAACTGTAGTTGTCACAGTGCAGATTATGAAGCTGAAAGAAGAATCAGCAGGTGAAATTCCAGGAGTTGTGTCAGGCAGGAAGCCAGACAAAATGATCAGAATGATGTTTTTTATGCCCTAATTTGTTTCTTGTATTTGAGTGTGAGCATGTAGGTTGGGATTTCCAACATGTTATACTGTACCTGGATCGGAAACAATTGGTGGGTCCTCATGGCTGTAACTTGGATCCTGCGGAGACTATTAATACTGTGTTACCCTTTACTGTCAATAGGACTGCTCATGCAGTGTTTTTTGGGCTGGAGCCACAAATCTGTGCCCTGGGATGTATTTGAACCAGTCACCTTCAGGTGAAAATGGGTTATTATTTTGACAAATGTCATAGCCAATAGAAATCCACCATTGAAGAAAAACATTGTTGTGCAAGTGCTGGTCCAGTCCATGTTTGGCTTTTCCCAGGCCTCGCAAGATCTTCTGTGACTGTTTGGCAGGCACAGCTCTTGCTGCTCCTCTGCTGATTATCGTGATCCAAAGCAGATGTCTGTTCCATGCTTTTCAAAGAACTGCTTTGCATTTTCATTTTGTGTTCACAGAAAAGAGAAAATAAGTTAACATGGTGTCAGCTTTATTAGCATTTTCAAAGAGGAGACAGCCCTGCAGACGTCTGCTCTGTAGCTGTCAGTTGTATGGTTGCACATATAATCTTGTGTGTGGTAACTGCTGATTATAGTTTGAGTGAATTCCTTGTGCTGAGGAGATGCTCTTTTATTTGTTCTTCAGACATTGTTTCAGAACTCTTATTATGCAAAATGATGTTGTGAGGATACTTTTAAAGGACAAAAAAGTATTTAAGTATTTTCTTATTTAAAGTCCATTCCATTTCTCTGCTGCAATAATGGGCCATCCCAGACTTGAACTCATTTACTGAGTCCATGTAAGATACACTTTATTGTCATCTCTGTAATGTCAGTTTAGCATTCCAGGCATGAATGAGTTTAGCAAACTTCGGTACTGAAAAATGTGTGGGAAAGAACAAATCTGTATTTTGTGGACAAAAGTGCATTTGTTCAAAAAGGTAGGAATGGAAAATATGTTAATTTGGAATTTACAAGCTGCCTGCTGGTAGGAAGATACCTGCCTAGATGTAGTTTGGACTCCATTTACTAAAAATGAGGTATCAAGGAAACAGAAGGCATGGCTCAGCTTAAATTCTCCATTGCTTCAGTTGGTTCATCACTAACAAGAATGAAAGTAAGTCACAGTAAGCACCTTCATGAAAAGAAAAACAATTACCAGAATTCCAGGGGATGGCAGAATCCAGGTGAGATAGGAAATGTCTTTTTCTGTTAGATTCAGAGTATCTAAAATGGCTCATCTGCAACACCAGGTGGCAGTGCTGCCTTCACAGAGTTGAATAACTTCCATTCAAAGCCTTGTTCAGTACAAAGCTGTTGTTCTTTCCAGAAGCTGCTAGTTATGTGGAAATAGAGAGAAATGTGGAACATATAAATTATAAGGTAAAATATTTGCCGTAGCCTTCTTTTATATTTTAATTGGATCTTTAAAATAAATCAAAGCTTTCCTTATATCGAATGGTTAGCCTGTGAGTTAGCTCTGCCCATCATTCCCAGGACAAGTAAATTTTGCACCACATTTGTATCTTCTTTCCCTATCACTGGATTGGAACACTATTCTGGATGAACCACTTCTAAGAATACAAGGATATAAACAGAATAAAAGTGACCTTACATGGTGGTTAAACATGCCACTTACTGATAATGTTCTACTTGTTGATGTGGCTACGTTCTGTGGATAGGTACACACTGTGAACCAAACTGATACTGTGATGATTTCCTAGGCCACCAAACTGGTGTTAGAAGTCATAACCACTGACTTGGAAGGTGACGGTCAGTATTTTCTCAGTCATTGTCCTTAATCACCCTGTTGCAGGCAGGAAGACACTGAGTTTCTGTGAAAAAATGAAAATAAAAGTGAGCATGAAGTCTCAGATACTGATCTTCTAGAGACCACATGCCTGGAAGTTTAATGACCTCAGCTCATATTTATGGTTTGTTTTGTTAGTTGATTTAAATCCATTAGATTCTTCAATAAACAGAACTATGTTTTTGGAGAAGTTTAGTTTTGAAGGAGTTAATCTTGTAGAAATGTATTTTTAGGCAGTGCGTATGAGAGATTATATACAGTAGTGTCCTCTTTGGTAATTAGTCACATAAAAGCACTTGCAACATGTCTGTTAAAATGAGCATAGAGTTTTGATCTGTCTGTTAAAATGTTGATTTAGTTTATATACTAATGTTAGCACTCAAGTTTTACTACCAACAGTGACAGGAGATTTGGGCATTCACATGCTTGCATTCTAGTTCTTCTGTCATGTTTTTTTTAACAAAGAAGAAGTTTTAATCTTGATTGTTGAGTAGCAACAATGGAGCAAACTTGCTTTACAAAACGTAGCTGAATTACAAATTGTGAATATGAGAAAAAAATAAGTCTGATTTTAGATGCTCTTCAGAGAAAACAAACCAGTAAAGAATTACTCACTGCAAATTATTCTTATCTAGTAACTATCACAGAAACAGCAGCTTGTCTGGAAACAAAACTGAATTTCACATTATCTTGTCTGCTATTCTTTTAGATTTAATCAACTTTCAATTTATCGTGACTCTTACACTGGAGTTGATTGATAAGTACTTCATGTTGCTTTCCGTACTATAGTTCTGGTGGAGAGTTCCAGCTTTGTAGACAGCATTAAAGGTCAATGATTAAAATTCTGTGTCTGAACTCTCCCAGAGGATGCTGGTGTATAATGGCTAACAGTCTTGTGATCTTGCATTCATGCCATTGTATTCATTGGGTTTATATTCTACTTAAGTACTCAGTGTTTCCTGAAGTAGGCTGTTCATCTTCATGAGCACCTAGACAAAAGAAATGCCAAGCTCAGGGCTTGAGTGTGGCCCAAAATGGCTGTAGGGATCACCTAGTTTTCAGAGAGTGATGCGTATCAACTGTAGTTCTGGAATAGATAAATGAACTCCCAATATGTGCAGTTGTCTGTCTCAGGTCCACATTGCTGTGTCCAGCATATCAGATTTTGGAATGAATACTTCTTTCCAGCTGTCTCGAAATGGAGATGAAGAATGGTGGATGACAGTTGGCTTGGTACATTTAAGGCAAGGACCTAGGCAGTCTTTGTTCTGGATAAGTTGGCTTAGTCTTAGCATCCCTTCTCTCTAACTTCTGTCACTACTGGGAAAGCTCCCAATGCCTTTGCCCACGTGTGTCATCATGATGTTTGTGACTGCTAGAGAGTTGGATAATACAGAGTCAAATACAGACACTTCTTGTAAGGGTATTCCCACATAAATTTCTTTACCATTAAAGAAGTCAATCTGCTTTTTAGTGGTTATCTGGTGTAGCATGGCCTTGGTGGCCCACATCAGCTCAGCATCCTTTGTTGTCATCTTCATTTTCCAGGAACAGTATAAAACTAAAACTCCAAATTAAATTAATTTAACTTCCAATTAAATTCATTAAATGCAGCAATGGCTGGCGACCTGTTCAACAGTCAGAAGCTTCAAGTTGTGTATGGTTGAATTAATATTGTTATATGACTGCTGAAGAGAATGCTATAAAGTTAATAAGGTACTGGCACAGTGCTCAATTTGATTAATAGGGTTTCTTTGTATTGGTGTTTGTGACGGAACAGTTTGTCAGTATGGTACTGCTTGTTTCTGTTTCTCATTGTTTTACTGTAAAATAAAAATCCATACCAAAAGCACTGTCCAGCATATGCTAGGCTTGAAACCAAGTGGGAATTCTGAGGACATCTGGTCAGGTTTTTTTTTTAGCTGAGTTATAGTAGTTATATGAATTTCATCCAGCACATTATAGGGTAGTTTGCTTTTCCCCCCATTTTACTAATAAGTTAGGATCATCATGTTGAGAACCTTTTCATGTATTATTTTCTGTTAAAGTATTTAACAATAATTGAAAGTACTCTTTTCATACAACTTCAAAATGAGATGTTAAAAAGTAACCAGAATTTGATTTTGTGGACACAGATTCTATTCAAGGTATATGATGGCTCTGCAGATTTTCCTGTAATGCCAGTTGATTAAATGTACTCTTTTTCTGCTTTCTCCAGCTGACTTGGCCCACTTAATGGACAGAACCTATGAAAGAAAGCTGCCTGTCAGCTCTTTGACGATAGCCCGGGTAAGAAAATAAATCGCAGTCATGAAGTGATAGAAATGACAGTGGAATGCTTGTGTAATCAAGTGAGCAGAGAAGGAATAAATGGTATCACCTCGGCTGGGAGTTCTGGGATCATAAATGTCTTGCTATACTGTTAGATGGCTGTATAAAGCTGTTTTATTGTTACTTTATACTCATTAGTTGGTACCTGGACTGTAGGGCCTTCAGAACAGAATATTTCTTTTTTCTGTAAAATCGGGCCTCATTATTAGTGAGTTGTGTTTTTCCCTAGTATATCTTCCCTGCCTTCTTGTGGTTTCTGTCTTTGTGAGAGCTTTAATGCCTCCTCAGGCACTGCATGAGAACCCAGGCTGCTAAGGGAATGCAATAAATTAACACCCTGCACTGTCTGTCTTCCTCCAATTCCAGACTTCTTTCAGTGAGGCAGAGATAGACATATTTTGCTTCTGTAGTTTTCTTTCCTTGCAGCAGACTGAGGCAGAACAAATGCTGACGTGGGTTAAGCAAAGCCATTATTTTTACTTGAATTAGTAACCAGTTCCATCCTCTGTGTGGGTTAATCTGGAGAGAGGGAGTGAAAGCAAAGATGTGAGATGTGTTTTTAAGTTACCTGTGTAAGAGAGTGTTTGTATTGAAGAAGGAGAATAAATATGTCACTTGTTTAAAAAAAGGAAAACAAACAAATTTCAGTCTTCAAAATTACCCCAAAAAACTGAATTAGCACCCTCATACCTCAGTAATATCATTAATTAGGATCATTTGTACCACTGACTTAGGAGCCACAGAACCCTTTGTTCAGTTACAAGAGCAAGCATTTTTACAGATCAAGCATTCTTGATCATTGCTTCTGAGACAGGGTCCATGAGAGAAAAGAGTGTTCCTCTCCCTTTTATTAAATAGCTTTATTCCTTTCCTGCATTCTCCTGCTTTGGGGTATCTTTTTTGTGGAGAAATGGCATTTTCAGATTGTCAAACAGCCCCACTTTCTAATACCTGGAGCTCACAGCAGATACTTATTTTCTAAAAGGTAGATAAAGTACCCAGGCATGCTATTGCCACACTTAAAAGATGAGATCTATATATGTACAGCATGCAAGGATAATTAAGAAATGGGAGACCAAGTACCAGTCAGCTGAAATTATTATTTTTAGCTTAGGATAAAGACAAGTACTGACCTTGAGAACATGTTTATATATTCTCAGTTAAAGGTATTATGTTGGGAGGACTCTAGTGTTTCAGCATCTTTATGTTAGTACAAGGTACAGGAAAACAGGATATACTTATCATAACACAAAGTCTGGTTGAAAACTTGTCTTGTATTTAGTTGATAGCACTGGCAATTTTGTAAGATTGCCTGAGGAAGACAGGGTTGTAAATGAGAGGAAAATTGTGGTTTATAGCATGGGGGTTTGATTTTTTTTCGTACCAGTGTTTATATGCATGGTGAAATACAAAATGCTTTTGCTCTTGTCTTTCAGAATATATAGTAAGAATAGGCACAACAGTCAACTTTAGAGAAAAAGATATTTTTTCAAAGAGAATTAAGGTATGTCAAGGCTCACTTAAAACTGTAGGAAAAAACCTAAGGACCTGAATGTATTCTTAAAATAAAGGATGTGATTAAGAGAAAAAATTCAGAAGAGCACCAAAAATACAGGGTACCGAACTCTAGAGACTTAATCCTCAGATGGTCTGCAAGTTGCATATAAAGTTTCTCAGAGGTGAGGAAGGGAGTTGTCTCAGTTTAAAAAGATTTGACTTCTAGCAGTCTAGAAGAAACCAGAGTTAGGAGCAAGCAAAGATGTGAAGAATTCCAGTACTGTCAGACAGCTAAATATGCTGACAAATGTATTTTGTTATTGCATTTTCTTCTGATATGCTTTGTGAGTGCTCTGTCCTCTGTCTTGAAGCTTTTGTTTCTTATGTTTTAATCAGTTTGTTGACAACATTTCTTCACGAGAAGAAGTGGATCAAGCTGAATACTACCTTTACAAGTAAGCATCTTTTCTCCCCAGCACAAACTTTGAGTCATACAAGTAAATACCGTGAAGTGTTGTCCTTTGAAGAAGACTGACCCTTTACAGCTTACTGGCTTTGATTTCTCTCTAGTGAAGTATGCTCATCTGCTTGTCTTACAACTCACACCTAAGGGCTTTCTTGGTTGTTATGGCTGTCCTCCTCTGGACCTCTGGCATTGATTCCTGTCAGGCATGTTAGTCTGAACTACTGAACAGCCAATGCAACCTCCAGCTGTGGTTTACATTAGAAATTATAAGGAATTATGTTTGTTCACAGCTTTTCCTTCTGATAGTTTTTTATTACTAAGTCATTATTTATCTAAATTTGCTATATGCATATTTGTGTGTGTATGTATAGGACTCAATGAAGCTTGTTTCCTTGGAACAAGCAAAAATGAAAATGGACATCCTGTGGTAATGATCAGGTCAAGGTTGAATGAAGTGTAGTTTTTAATCCCCTTACTACTTTTATGTTTCCCAGATCAGCTGTGTGGTTCACCTTATGCATGGGTTTTTAGGGTTTTCTGCAACTATTCTTGTGTTAAGTGAAGTGTACAGGGTACCTTTTCTGCTGGTGTCAGGTTGAATGCTTGCTTGGTCTGAGTCAATACCTCTCAATATTGACTTTAAGAGGGCAAAAATTATTGCTGATCACTAAAACAAATTAGTTCCTTTATGGATGGTTGCACACACACGTTGAAAACTAAGTCTTCTGATGGAGAAAGTAACTCATGCTGTCAAAATGTGTGAGAAGGCATCCTTATAAATAATGCCAGGTTATTATTTGTAAATAACAATGATTTTTATTTTAATTAAGATGTTTGCTGGATGGCTGTTTTAATTAAATGCATAGTTTTAAATACATAATTGCATTAGAATTCAAATCTCCATGATTCGCTGGTACTAATGGGACAGTATCTGAATACTAGTAATGTCCTGTAGAGAAAAAATAAAAATAGGAAGAATCTCTCACAGAGGGGAAGTTAGTGGAGCTTTCATTCCTTTTGATTAGGATTTCCTTAGTCCTGTCAGAATCTGTGGTCAGAAATGAATTTTCCATCCTCCAATGGCAGAGATGAAAACAGGACAAGGTAAAGCCACTTTAATGCAAGCCATCTGGTACCTTTTAGTAACATACTTGAAGATTGAAATGTATTTTGTGCCACACGTACTTAAGCCCTCTCTGATTGAGTCAGGGCCTCTATGATCAGGGATGCAAAGAGACCTTTGATTTCCCTAACATGCAGAGGAAAGTGTGGTGGTTTAATTACTAAGTCTCAAAATGGTACAGATAAAATCCTGATAGTGAGACATCCATATATAATGTATCTTTCAGGTTCTTTCTTCTTACATGGTCTTCCTTTTTGAAAAAAGGTCAAGGAGAGTGACAAAAAATAGAAGCACAGAAAATGGTCCATAGTAAGAGGTAGAGAATGGTATGGGAATCTCCTAACATGTAAATATCCTTTTTACTTTTCATCTGTGCCTGGCTAATTCATCAGTTTAAAATACAAGGTTTCTATCTTAAGAACACATCCTTGTGTAGAGAGTTACAGTTCAAAAATAATTACAGTTATTTACCATTTCCCTAAGAAATAATTCTCCCATGGCTGGTGAGAGTATAGTTATGTGCACATCAAATATGATCATTTGTATCAATGTAGAGAGAATAGAGAAGTACTGGTGTGTCACATGACTTGTCAGACATGCTTTAGCTGGAATTTTTCTTTGTGTTTCTGCAATGCTGCTTTGTTTTGGTGTTGCAAAATGGTTAGTCTTTTGGTGATGTTAGCAACGTTTTTCAATTCATTCCAGCATTGATCCATGAAACTGTTCTCAAAAATGCACATATATACAAGTAGCGATTGGTATTTGCAAGACCCCTTTAATTAGACTGGAGTTCAAATGAAGGACGTGTTTATAAAGATAGGCCTTTGCATCTGGGAGCATGTTTGACACAAAAAAGTCCTGAAAAAGTTGCCACACCAGGAGACATAAATGAAGGGGGTAGAGAGGGAGAGTTAAGAAGCAGAGAAGCTTTGACAAGTAATCTGTTTTTATGCCTTCATGAGAAACGGTTCCAAGCACAATTTTTGTACTTTATGTAAGAAGAATAAGCTTTTAAAAAGGAGAAAGTGTAAAATAAAGACTGTTTTTGTGTCCTCTGAGGTATACAAATCCATTGCAAACAAATGTCATGTACATGGTCTGGTAAGTTGACTGTATGTGCATTTTCCTGAACATAAATAAGAGAATGCTCCCAGAGTCCTGTGTTTTTCCCCTTAACTGCTTGTAGGGTATAAAGAAGGGATTTTGATATCTCTCCCCAGCGTTTGGTGCATCTGGCAACCTGAGGTGAAGGGTAGTCAGTTCCAAGGCCCCTACAAAGTTGGAAGATGTTCCTGGTACAAAGGCAAAATCCCTGCGGGAAGAATCAGGGGAAAGTAGTGGCATTTCCATGCTTGCTATCTGGGGGTTTTCTGAAGACAGGAGTGACAAAACTTGTAATCGTTAGCTTTGTAGACTGGAGAATTTCCTTCTATTATGTCAGACAGAACATCGTTTCAAAAAGTAGTATTCTAGAGCATTACCATAATGCATTTAGGGTTCTGAAATACAATATATGTATTATATCTAGACCTGTTTCAATTTTCTATCCTTTTAAAGCAGTGGATCTCCAGCTGTACTGTCTCCACAGAGGATCTTGAGCTCCCAAGAGTAGCTGTGGGGAAACTGCTATGCCACATTGTGAAACATGTCAGTAAGATGGTAAAGGCCAGTTTAGGCATGACGTCATCTGCTTTCAGTGCTCCTCTTTTTGTTCTCTTCTGAATACCTCCCCCCCTCTGTTAACTGTCAGACTTAAAAAAATCCTTTCATCTCCTAGGATCCCAGCAAAAATTCTAATCAGAATGCAGAGCTCTTTCAGCCAGATCAAAGATCTGCAGTTCGCCTTACTTTGTCCTGTCTCACTGAGATGTCACTATTTCACACATCAGGGTGTTTTTCATATGATGGAAACATTAGCATAATGGAAGGAGGTTTTGTCGTGAGGTAACTGCTGATTTTGTATGTAGGTTTTATGCCAACAAAGATTTTCAATGGGTATGAAAGCAATTGGTGAAGTTTTATGTTGAGATTCCTCAGGAGAATTTTTAATTGCATTGAACCCATGACCCACACTGTAGATAAAAGTATACACACTATCTGCGGAACATGTTTGTGTGTGCATGTGCTCTGCAAATTCTTGCACAATCTACCTAGATCTTTTTAATTGCTTTTTACCTGGACTCCTTACTTGATTATAATCACAAAATGGGTCAATAGCAAACTATTAGAAGTTATTCTTAGATGTAAAATATATATATGTAATATCTTCATAGAATTGTTTTGATTGGATGGTAGTAAGTTACAGCTTTGAAGCCTGATTTCAGCCTTTAAGTCATTTTGGGACTAAGATGGTCTCTATATATATGAAATTGCACTTATTCCTTAAAATGCCTGTGTATCAGTAGTTAATGCAAGATTACATGCAAAATAAGTTTCACCTGCACTGTCTGTATTTGCATGTCTGTTTTGTGGGTGCAGAAGTTGCAGTTTTTGGTACTTTCATGCCAGTCAATCAGTTCAGTGTCTGAAAATGTTATTACTATAAAGTATTGTTTATAATAAATTATCATAATGGACCAAAAAAAATGTATTCCGGAATTATACTTTACATGGCATTCATTCCCACGATTATGCTATTTAGTATTTAGTTTCTGTATACAAATCTGCAGTATGTAATGAATACCATTAACCTGTTCCAGCACAAATATAAAAAGGAGAAGAGATGTAGACACAGTCCTGTAACATATGTAATTCTTCCTTTGAGGTGTTTTCGTTGTCCTAAAGCTGTAGCCAAAATAGACTTGTTAGTTGATCACGTCTTGGTTTTAAGTCCCTCCAGAGAAATATGTGTGTTACAAAAGAGGTGTAAAAATAAATGAGTCAGAAATATCTGCGTACTATTCAAGTTATGCAGCAGTTATATTTTGAAATGATATTGAGAAGTGGTGCAAGAGAAGAATACACTTTTGTAGACAGAATGATACTTTTTACCAGTTTGGACACCTGCCTCAGCTGAGCAATCTAAAATAAGTCCATTTGCAAAAGATTTGGGCTGCTCTTTGGCAGGTTGGGAGAAGGAAGGGAAGCACCAGAGAGATTTACCTCATTAGAATGTTTACTCATTTTCATGTGAACAGAAATACCAGTGTTTAGTGCTGTTTCACTGTGGTTGTCAGTGTGCGATGCTGCTTTATGTGAAGAAATATTGGTCACTATCCAAGCCAGTGCTGTCAGATGTAAGTGTTCTGGTTGTAGAGACTGTGCCACTTTTCTGGCTCCAGCATTCACTCCTTTCTGCACAGAGGGACACATGTTCTTACTCTCCCTGTCATCTTTTACAATTTCTTTGTTGTCATTGTCTCTCTGTGGTTTTTGAAGCATGAGCTGTAGGAATCGACAGAAAAAACAGTTAGTAACTACATTTCAGAACCTGGAGCCAAATTTCAGCAAGCCTTATCCTGTAACCACATCTAATTCAAGTGGGTGTGCTCAGAGTAACCATGCTGTGCAGCGCAGGAGAACTCTCAGTAAAGGTACAACACTGGAAAGCATTTAGAAATATTTCTTCCTGTAATACATGTCTTTTCAGTCATCTGCTTTTTGTAGTTCATCTGTCGTTTTCATAGACTTTCCTTTAAGCTTGGCAGAAACTGGACAAGAATATTCTAGGCACTGCATATAAAAGCACAAAAAGTTGGAAGTCTTCAACACTAGTTTCTTTTTGTGTGTGTGTTGCCAACAGTAAAGGGATAAGCATTTGAATTTTAAAAGCTTTATATTCAAAACAAGAGAAAAAAAAGGATTCTGCTACAAACAGAATGCAATATCAACATTCTGAGGTGGTTCCCTCCTCCTGCTCTGCAAAA